GCATTGAACATCAAGAAAAGGAAAATAACTGTATGTAAAACTTTGGACCCGTCCAGTGATGTACCCTGACTTGGGAAAATTGTTGGAATGAAGAAGCCAAAGTGAAAAATGAAGGTGACTGCTGTAGCCGTAAAAAAGTACGCAGGTGCTACAGCGTTGAGAAGTCTCAGTTTTAACATCCGGGTGAACATATCTGTGTGGGAGCAAAGAACACAGTTAGCAGTGCAAGTAACTGTAAACGTAACTGCGCAGATGTTTCTGGTCAGTTTGAAATGTTCTTTCTTCTGAAAGCAAAGCACGTTTGTTTGTATCTAATATAACAAGAACAATGACCCAAAATGGTCTAAATCACAACTAATGGTCTGTGGACATTATGTTACTTAGTTCAAGTTTATTGTGCTAAAAGTCTAACAGCATGCGTAGAGGGCTGAACACAGTTGTGGTCAGAGGTTTAGATTGACTCATCATGGGCATCATACTCCCTTTACAAACCACCGCACGTTGGCTTGTATGGGTGTTTATTCTTTTTTAGGTAAAGGCCCTGATGTTTGCACAGTTTTGTGGAGGGAGCAGTACTTCCTGTTTTATAAAATCTGTTCTCGCTCTCTCTCTCTCTCTTGTTTTTTTGTTTTTTTAAATTTACTGCATGGATTAACTTTTATTCCTTAAAGCAAGGACAAAGTGATGATTTTCCAGTCCTTTTTTTAAATTTAGAGACTATAATCAGACAGAGACAGCCAATCCAGGCACTTATTTAGCCGCACTTATTGCTTCTCCAATCAGCACACTATTTTCTGTTGTGCTGACATAATTGAAAAATGTTTTTTCTAATGACTAATCAGGCTTTTAATATAACAAACTTGCATTAGGAAATACGAGGTGCCATCAAACACACATTTGCTGAAAATAGGTCTCTGTATGCAAACACAGGTATTCATGATGAATCACTCTCAACACTTTTTACCAATTTCATGTTAGACGCAAACACAAACGTGCAGCCAAAACAGAAGATACTATAGTACAGTTTTAGCAAATAGACAAAAATATTCTCAGTTTATGAGGATTGCTAAGTACCTAAAGAATTGGCAGTGCTGTTTGCAATTTAAGGGGCATCAATAGTCTTAATCCAGCAGTAAAGTCATTTACTTGTAGGGAGATTATTACATTAAGATACTTGAATTAAATAGTAGCAAATTGGAGGGAATGACCCTTCCAAGGACACAGTTTGATCTCAGGAGAGATCAGGTAGTTCTTCCTTTCCATTGTGTCCAAGTGCTTGTTCACAGGGGATAACTGTTTAGTTCTATGTCTACTACTGAATGCTCTTTACCTGACAATATGAAACCCTGAAATAAATCACACTGAATTTAAACCATTTACAAAGAGCACAGTGCAGAAATGTGAATAGAAGAGCGAATGTAAGCCTGCCGCTTAGAGTTAAAAACTAATTTCTGAGCAAAGTGGGGGTGGGGGACTCCCAGGGGCCACTGAGAATAGCAGTAATGTCTTATCCCTCCCTCTGTCATCGCATAACCTGCAGCACTGAAGGATGTGCAAATCACAAGATAGCAAACGACGAAAAGGAAAGAGGGCGGTCTCGCAGACCAAATTTAAAAGTTGGTCTTTACGTCCCTTATTAGAGGGCATCGACACTGTGGATGCTACAGAAAACAGAAAGCATTTATAATATAACTGTAGTTATCCATCTCCTTCGTGTTCTGCTTTCTTTCAGAATTACATTATATCGTTTCCAGTATGTTATTGATTGCGCCAGTAATGTTATTTCCCCATAATTTCATCTCCATGGCGCGACGCATCTGCCTACCTGCAGATGTCAGAGAGCGGAGGAGCTGTCCTTTCAGCACTACGGAGCCTCGGAGCTCAGGAGCTTCTTCAAACGCACACAAGAAGGTTTCTTTGAGAGGCACTGACGTCGTTTTTACATCACCACATTAACTCCTTTGTCTACCGCCGCCTGCTGGTCCGGATGCGTCTGTGTTCCTCTTTTTCTTCACGTTTCCCTGTTAACAAGACAAAAAAGAAATTTCAACAAAGCAAAACAAGTATTATTATTTTCACATGGTTAATTCCCCATATTTAATTCCATATACATCCATTCAGTAAGTATATATTTATATAATAGTACATTTTTATAAGATTAATCCTTCACTTTCTTTCCATGTGAACAACTATTATTATTACAGCATCTGACCAGTCTGCAGTGTTTAGGGTCAATGCAGGAAAGAAAGAATTCAGTAGGTGGCAATGTATCCTCAGTTATCTGACATCCCATGCTGTTAGCGCAGAGGTCCATAAGCTAATTTTAGCAATTTCAATAAAATAAGCTTTACTCACAGGATGTAAGGCAGCTCAATACATTTTATTTCTTTTGTTAACATGACTTACTCTCACAAACACTCCATACTAAAACACATCTTGTTGTGCGGGAGTCATAAAGGCATCAATTTTCAACATCTCACAATATAACAGGAAATTATAACTCCATTGGCAAGTCTACATGTTTACCCATCACCTAATGGACCACTATCAGTCAGGTATTGGCCTCTCCCTGTTACAAACAAATATTCTTTTTATTATTTGGTCTTTATTTAAAGTACAATTAACTTGAGCACTAATACATTTTGCATCATATCTGTTACCAGGTTAAGTCTGAGATAGATCCTCAGTATCCTTAGAGTAATGTCTCTAAAGAGCTTTCTCTTCATTACTTTAGTCTAGAGACCTCTCCTTTAAGGTAACATAGGATTATTGTTAATATTAAATCCTGTCTCGCTGATATTGAGATTTCTTTTTCAAAAGACACCTGTCTGTAAAAACATATACAACATTATAAACAGGAGATATTATATGTGTTCATAAAGTAATAAAAGCATGTGTAATAGGG